AAGCCTGCAGATATAAATATAAGGAAGTATTTTTAGGAGCCTTTGTGTATGAAAAGAACCCTTTGGAAATAAAAATCTGTGCCATCTGAAATTACTGTCTTCACTATGGCTTCATAGAAGATAAAGTGAGAGATGAAGAAGGCATATTTAAATATTCTTCACTTGGATGCTTTCTGCACAGCTTTTGATGATCCACCTTCAAGCTTTTTTCAGTTTCTGATCTTTGAGTGTCACACTGCAGAGATACTTAAAAGGGCCTCAAGTCTGATTTCATCACATTATCAAATACAGAATATATGATTGCTAAGAATATGCTTTAAAAAGAATTAGTACAAAATTATCTATTGTGCAAATCATATTTTGTCCTGTGTTCTGGGTGCCGAATGGGATCAAAATCTGGCTTGTCGTATATTATATGTAATGCTGAATGAACTTTCTACAATTACACCCTTCAGGTATCTTCTGTGTGAGAAACTTGTCAAGCTGCCAGTTGGTCTGTGATGACCTCTGATAATCAAACTACCAAATTGCCCTCTCTCCATCACTCATCCAGACTTGTCTCATAATCAAGTTTTGCTACAGAAGATTGCTAATTATCCAAACTGCCATTTCATATTTGTCCCTGAGGTTATACAGTTATTTCTCTACAAAGAGCTGTCTCCCACTGTGCATTTTTCATGATGGCAAAGTGTGACTGGACGACTGGTCTCTGCTGAAAGAATATCTGAGTAGCTGGAATGAGAAGAGGGAACTTCACTGCCTTTCCTTTTACCCATTTCAAGTGATTGTTCTTGTATTATTTATAATACAAATTGATTTAAAGTTAATTTCTTTTTCTCAGTGGTATTAATGAATATAAGTTGTCATTTAATGGTATGTTTTGCGTACACTTTCTCAACAGCAGCATTGGCCATTAGGAAGGTACTAGGGTGGTATATGACAGAAGTTGAAAGCAGGATTAAAAGGAAAGCAATTTGCAGTAACATTAACCAAGCTGAATATGATACCTATATCTCATTCAGGAAACAGGCTCTGTAAGAGCAGCAGAATTTTCCCCTTTTGCTTGTGTTGATTGATTTCTGCTGCTTGCAAGTGCCTCATTCAGCCCTTACAGCGAGAACATTGTAAAATGCTGTGTGTGTGCTTAATTATATTGCATTTTTCTGACATACGTATGCACACACACATGTACTGTCTCAAGAATGAAAGACTAGGAATGGATATTTTATTCTTGTCTAGTTCTGTGCTAACAATATAAAGAAATTATACAGTATATGCTGTATGCATCCTTCCAAAACTGTGAAAATACTTGTGTTCAGCAGCACTAAGGTGTAAGCACCAGATAACAGCTTTTATTTGAAGAATTTTAGCTCTCAGTGTTTCCCTAAAACTTTGACTCCTTCGTTTCCTAAAGTTTTCTTTCTTTCTTAGCTTTTGTTTATCCATAGCAGCACAGAGGCTTATTATTACTGAACAAGAACCGCAGGCTATCTTTGATAGTGGCCAGGATTGGGATATCGTAGTTAATAGTTTTCCACGATGGTCATTAGTGGTCACTAAAGGGCTGAATATTGTTGATGTAGCTTTGTTTAAGATTTGATTGGTCTCTAATTTCTCTCCCCACCATTCACATGTACCAAGAAGCCTATGAAGCAATTTTCATGATAGCAGAGTAATGAGGAAAGGAGAACCTGACTTTTATTCTGAATTGAGTACAAAGGCATATTTGTTCCCCCTTTTCCCTATCCATCCCGGTCTGTGCAAATCCGAGTACGGGGTAGCTACAGACTTTTGCCCCACGCTTTCTCATGGGGGCACGATGCTCACTTTCTCAAGCTGTCTACAAGTGGTAAGAGTTTTCCAGCCTGGAAACTACTAAATTTGTACTACTTTGGGCAAGATCAGTCATGTCCATTGAGCTAACTCCGGCTTGTGTTCGTGGTTCCTTTCAAGATGAATGTTATCACTTCTTGGAATTAAAGCAGGGATGTTGACCAGAGGAGTCTCATCCAGCTTTAATTTACCGTAAGCTCTTAGAAGTCACGTGAATATTTCTCAAGAATGAAGAGCCTTGAAATTGCTTGGTCCACAGGGTAAAAAGACTTCAGTGTGTAATGTTCTTAATTGTTTTTAGAAAGAGGAAATTGAACATCAAAACATTCCAAAGGAAGCAAGCCTTTTAAGTGATCCTAAATCACTGGGGTGCTTTAGAAAATAATTTCAGTGTAAGTTGAATTTTAATTGCCTGCCCCTTCCTCTTATTGTCGTAGTACTTTCATCCCCTCTGTTTTCCTGGAAGAGAACATTATTGTTGCTGTCTATTTTAAGAAATTCACTGGAATTTCTCCTGCAGTGCAGCAAAATGTCAGGGCTGGATATGCTTTAATATTCTGTATTATGAATATTTTTTATATCTTTGTAATTAAAGAAATGAAGTTTTAATGGCTGCTCTCTTATAAACCCCGGACTGTTGCATTTGCAACATAAGAAGCTCAGGACAGACAACGCCAGGTGCAGCTGGAATATTGCTGCAGCCCCATAGCATTTTTTTTTTTAACATTATTCAAATTAGTCTCAACACTCATAATTCTGTTGTTTCCTTTATTGCTGTTGTAAAGCAAATGGTTCTTTTATACAAATGTTATCTCCTGGCTATTAATTCAGCTGTTATTTTGGATTATGGCACTCCTGTTAAATTTAGGAATGTAAAATCTCATAAATATTTAAAAGTTTCAGACTGACGTGGGAAGAAATTGTTTTTGACTTGCTTTGTTAATATCCTGTTGTTCAATTTGTAATAGATTTGGAATATATTGTTATTTCTCTACTGTTTGAGAAAAGGAAAAACAGTCACAGTTGAGCAACTGCTTCAAGTGTACACACTTGAATTGTAACAGGTTGGTAAATACATTTTTTTTCAAGTGGAAAATTGCAAGGGAAATATCTGTTTTCCTTTGAGAGAACAACAAAAAAAAAAAGTTAAAACCTTAATCAGAGCCCACTGCATGGCTAATGAAAATGCAGCAGTATGTTTGTAAGGATGGGTTCAGTAAAGCAATTCCAAGCAGGGCTGGTTACAGTGAAGAAATTCTGTTTCAGCATTTTTCCACTTTAAACTTCTTTTTTTCTAAGAAATAAATAAAATGGACAAATGTTTTTCTTCCATTGTAGATATTTTGAATAGAATACATTTACTACACAGTAAGTGTATCTGTAGGGTAAAGATTAGTATGCAACCTGAGTATCCTCCAAACTCTGAATAATAAACAGGGGATAAGAAGCCACAATTTTTGGCAGACCAATGAAGGTCTAGGGTGATGTAGTTTGGGGCAGCTTTCCTGTTTCACATCTAACAGCATCTTCATTCTTTACACTGGAATTGAATGCGCAGCTTTTCAGACAGGTATTAAGGAGTATTAAGTCATAAATCCCATCAATGTCATTAATAACTATTTTAAATTTTTCAACAACTGTTCCAAAGAAGATGTTGAATTGGTTCAATCCTGATCAGCAGGCTGACAAAGCGGGCAAAGTACGTATGCAGTTAACCAAGCTTGCTTCTCTCCTGCATGCTCCTTAAGTTGTTCAGCTGTGTCTTTGGCTTGATGGGTTTGTTTCATTTCCCACATCAGTTAACCTCAGTGGTGTAATATCATGACTTTTTGTGGTATGGGCACTGAACTGAAAAGAGAGCTTTCTCTAGCTAGCAGCTAGGTTGGTACTGCAGTGTCACCACTGTTGAACGACAGATTTGTGCTCTCTGCTCTTAAAAGGTATGGCTGAACCGGCTTAATCTTCATGTAAAGTAATAATCGAGGTGACAGTTTTCTTTTGTCTAGAAAAACCTTTTTTTCTTTTCAGTAACTTGTCATAGTTATGGTGCAATATTTCAAAGTTCAAGTTTTCAAAAGGAAGCTGTTAAGTGATCATGTACATGCTGTAACTCCGAAGGTGAACTTAGAATGGCATGAACAAATGGATATTTTTACATGCACGTGATGAGCTGGATGTGCCATGCTAGCTGACTCCAGCAAGTTTAACAAATTCAGTATGGTCCGGCTCTTGGCCTGTAAGGTGGACTCAGCCCCTTACAGTTTCTACCTGACCTATCACCTTCTTACTGCTGGAGAGAGCAAACAGATGCTTCTTCAGCAGAGGCAGCCTCCTCCACCTGCCTTCTCTGGGGAGATGAATAGCAGCTCTGAAGGGGCACAAGGAAGGGCAAGCAAATCCTCGGGGGCTGCTGGCCCCCCCACCTGGCCTCCGCAGATGCTGCCACCAGGCCACCCAAAGCACGATCGTGTGCACGACAGTATTCATGAGCCAGTCCCACACACTTCTTCATTTGTTTTTGTCTGCACAATAAGCTCATTCCTCTATTACGAATGGAATGTGAATCTGCTATCAAATGGAAGAAAGAAGATACAAAGCTTTTGCTATAGCTTATTAACTTTTTTTGTTATTGTTCCTTGGAAAACTATTTTTGCTATGCATGTCTTGTATTACTCTTGGTTCTATGTGAAGTATAAAGTGAACAGTTCTTGTATGCTTATAAACTTAAGGACATTTGGATGAGGAAATTCTGCAGAGCAGTATATTTACTTTGCATTTCTGTATGGTAGCAATTAAAATTCACAGCTGCTGGCTGTCCAGATGTTTCTCACATTACAGCATTGTAATTTGCATTGGAATATATTGTGTTACTGCAGTAGCTGTTAAGTGGTCAGCTCTTCCAGCCTAACTGCTGTATGTGAGCTCCACATACAGTTGGGATGTATTTTCCACTTGCATCTGGTTCTTCTCCTTCCCCCTGTTTCCAACCTCAGTTAGCCTGACCTGTTTGTATTTCTCAGACGAAGGCTTTGTTGCTTGGAATTCACATACAGCAGGGGACATGTTGGCAGATCAGAGCAGATGTACGGGTGGTTTTTTTTAAGAGACACAGGAAAAAAGGACCTAGCTTTGAATCAGAACTTTCCCTTTCCCTTTGGCATTTTCAGGCAGCAAACATCCCTCTGGTGTCAGAGCTTGGCATTGATGACATCCATTTTGATGACTTCTCACTCGATGTGGATGCCATGATTACTGCAGCCCTGCGGATGTTCATGGAACTTGGAATGGTTCAGAAATTTAAAATTGACTACGAGGTAACCATCTGTTCTGCAGAGATATCTGCTGCTTCCATGTTGGCACTGCTCTGTCCATTTGCACGCATTTAGTAGCCCTGATAAAATTTGTACTTTTCATTTCAGACGCTGTGTAGGTGGCTTTTGACAGTTAGGAAGAATTATCGAATGGTTTTGTATCACAACTGGAGACATGCTTTCAACGTGTGCCAACTAATGTTTGCCATGTTAACTGTAAGTATCCCACTACAGACACAATCCCATAAGATCTTTTAGTGCTACATTGCCTTACCTGTCTAAATGTTTTCCAACGTGTTTTTCTACTTGTTATGATATTCATTCATTTGCAGTAGATATGCACACAGAATTAGGTTATTCAACTTAAGATGGCATGTGTTTGGCGAAACCTTATAGTGTTTTAGTGACAATGATACCACAGGCATATTAAAGCGACTGAAAACAGATGGAAGTCTTGGATTAAGCTTGTTATTATGGATCTTCATCTTACAATAATGCTTTCCTTTTGGAACTCTTTAATTTGACATTTATTTTGGACTGTTAAATTGGGACATAAAAAACATGGAAGATTTAGAAGAATTATGTATTTTGTTGATATTTAATATTTTCTTCTCCCATTTCATCCAAGCTGTTGTGAAAAATACTGCCTCAAAACATTAAGATCATCTTCTTCCATAGTGATCTAAGTGAATCTTTTGTCTTCATTGGACACTGTAATACTGGTGCATTTAGTTTACTTCTATCACCATCAGTAGTTACAACTTCTCTCGGCATACGAGTTAATTCTGTTAAAAATACCAGTGCTTTTACACTCTCTCCTCCTACCCCACATCAACCTTGCCATTATATATTATATATATACTATTATATATTATATATAAATAATGCATATTTAATTAAGTTAATTCTTGCAAACATATCTGTAAAAAGACCGTGGTTCTGGTTGTTTAAGGTTCTGCTTAATGTGGCAACAGAGAAGCAATGTGTCTCTGTGCATACAACACTTTTCATTGTGCTTTTTAATTTTTTTTCCGTATCTCCAGATAAAATTTCAAATGAAATGAATATTTTAGGCTTTAGTAAAACTGTGATGTTCATAAGGTGATACTTTAATAAGATGGTTGATGCATAAGTTTATGTTATATAATTAGAGGAGCGTTTATCTAAAAAGCATCTTAGAATATTTTCATCAGGAGGATCCCCAAAGCAAAGGCTGCATTTTCAAATACAAGAACATTTCCTAGGGACAGAGGAACAATCTTCTGACTTAATTACTGAATTTTTATGTTCTTGTTGCTGCTGAGATGCCAGCATGGCTAACATTTGCATGCTATCAGTCTGTGTGTTATCAGTGGAGCCTGCACTGCCTGTGCTAATCATACAGTAGTGAGATCACCAGATCGGTCTGCTGCCACTGAAATATTTCCACTGTGTTACACAGCCATTAGGTGAGCTGTAGCATGTTACCTCTATATAGGGCACAGTTGGCTTAGATTTCCAGCTGTTGTTCCTGGTTGGACATCATCTCTGTGGCACAACCAGTACCTTAGTCAAGAAGAAGCAGAGCATGAGGTCCCCAGGCAGGTAAAGGACATGGGCCATGTGCTAGATCTGTCCTGCAAGTTGTGTGGGTTAGGTTCTGTGAGCAGTTAGGGCTGTAACAAGGCAAAGCAAACAGAGACCTCTAATGAGAGTGAGAGAAATCATCCCTTCTCTTGGAAGTGGAGATTGTGCAGCTGGGCGGAACCAACATCATCTTCCTACAGACACTTTCTGTTGATCTTAAATGAAAACTCATTGTAATCTGGCCATTGGTAGTTTCTAAAAGTGTTACGACCGTGGCAAGCTTGTTGTTAAGTTATATAAAGATAGGTTTTCACTCTGAGCAGTAAGAGTCAAGTCAGACAACGTCTGGGAATTTAATTTCTGCCGAACGCTGCCGGGAGTGAGGAAGCCACTGCTTCCATCTCCACGCAGCTCCTCTGCTGGGGAAAGCGTCCTCTAGATGGAGCTCCGAGGCCGGCTTTGCGGCAGGTTTTGTTTTGGGTGGAAAAGCTCTTTCCTACCGGGCACCTCCATCTCAGCTGGAGGCGGCCAAATCGCAAATCGGCAGCCAGCGGGGAGGAGGAAGATCGCGGTTTCTTGAAGAGCCAACAGCAGGCCAGCGAGGCTGAACTCTGCAACCACATTCAAAGCTTAATTTCAGGATGCGTTTAAGCAAGCAGTGTGGGAGCACAGATATCTGTGGGAGGTGATCTAGGATTTTCAAGCACAGCTCATTTCAGTACCGGTTCCAGGTGGGCGGCTGAGCACGTGCACCAGAGGCTTTTGTGCCATGTCTTGTCCTGCCTTGCTGTGGCTTTGGTGCAAAACAGAAGCCAGGCAGTTTGGGAGCCGCTCTGGGGCTCTCGCTTTCAGAGATAGGAAGACTGATTTTGTGAAAAGAGACACAAAAGTGATAGTCATGAGACTAGTAATAGCACAATGTTTGCTCATATTGCATTTTTTGTTGGAAGAGCCATCCTACGTAGTATGCCTCATTGTTCGTTTTTCATCTGCAAAAAGGGAAAATTCTCTGCCTTGTAGAGATACTGATTTGTGCCCAGTACTTTGTTGCAGGGTTTGTGTATATGAATATGTCAATATGCAAGACCCTTTCCTAAAGTTGTTGTAGTCTTTTTCCATGAAAATCGATAATGTTATCTGCACCACAAATATAAATAAATAGGTCTATTTTAGGGAGTTTTCATGAAGGTTTAGCCTAACAGATTAGACATTACTACATTACATGGTAACAGTTATCCTCTGATGGCCTTACCACGCTCTCATTGAAAACAGGAGCAAAATCCAGCTGGGCTAAACAAGCCAACAGAAATTCTGCAATGCTTAAACCAGGTGTTTCACTCCTCTGTCAGCCTTCTGTATGTGTACCATATATTCCTGTATGTCTAAATATAGATTTTGTTCTTTCCAAGACACTGGAGAATTATAAATCCAGTCCTCTGAGCCATGCTTCAGGCTCACCCAAATATTCTGAAGACAAGCACTGAAGCAAGGCTGCTCTTGCGAGTTAGGAATGTCACGTGAGAGTAAACCACAGGATGAAGTCCAGCCTTGATAATCAATGACTTTGTTCCATATTAATACTTTGTTCCAGAAGTAAAAATGAAAAAGTCAGTAATATAAAATTAAAATCACATCTGGTGAGCTACTAACAAAACATATAATGTGGAGCAAGGTATAACGAATGCAATTCATTTCCTCACATGAGAGAATGACCTCCATAACTCACTGGAGACTCTGCCACTCGTGAGTTATGGGTCGTTTTTTTTCTGGTGAAAATAAATTTTACAGTGCCATCGTATACAGCTGTGTATTTTTTTTTTCTCTCTGTAAATTCAAAAAATGAGGAAATGTGATTCTCTGCTCTGAACATAATGCAGAAAGAAAAAAAAGATATCCTCTTACAATGATGTTGTTTTAAATTGAACATTCTTATTAAGAAATGCTATATTTCTCTCATATACTCCATGACAATATTTTTGATTAAATGTTGAATTTATTTTCAAGATATTGCTACTGTTAATAAATTCCTTAATCAGTCTCCCTGCATTTATGATACAGGTTGAGTCTTTGAGTTTAATCAAAGCTTCTGTTATGCTGAAGGCTGTTTATTACAGTATCAACATTCTATTATGAAACTCCTATTTTAAGTTGCTTTAATTCAGTATGAATTCTTTCTCTAGACTGAAAGTTGACACATGGTATGTTGTCAGTTACAATCCTCTTTTCAATTTTTTTTTTCCCTAAATAGACCTTTATTATTTTTGTTATACAAGAGCAATATTTAAAGAGTAAAACCAGAAAACACTATTTTTAGATAACTTTCTCTGCCTGAGTATCTACTACTGGAATTTTAAAAAGAATCAGGAGAAGCCCTTTCATAATAGTCAGGTTCATCTGTACACCAGTGGATATTACATGAATGGAATCTTTTTTCCTCATATTTAGTTATCTTTTTAGATGCATAAACTTTGATGCACGGTTATAAAGCATTTGTAGTAAGTCCTGCACTTCTATAGTTCATGCTAAAATGTACTTTTGAGCAACCTGGAGCAGGGTGGGTTCCCTGTACTGCCTAAGAATTAACTGCAGCCACATTTTAGACTGTGAAAACAGAGAATATATATTTATTTAAGTAGAATTTATGGTCTTCCAAGTGAATAGCAAAGTTCTCACTTGGTATTGCAACAATGAGTGGCATCTCTGAGTGGGCTGTATGTTCCTGCAGAAGTGCAAGGACATCAAATCCCAGTTATTCACTGTCTTTGTGTCACTTAATGCTCTTCTTGCCAGTGGGTGAAATTATGCTCCACTGAAAATCAGCGGAATTCAAAATTTCTTACATACTGTTCAAGTTAGGTTTTATCTTTCAAAATAAATTGTTTCTTTTATACAATTTCCTCTCTTGCTAACTGGATCATGTGGCTAGTTGGAGAATGTGGTTCAAGCCTGATACCGTGGAAAGAAAAGGATTAGCAGTTTTCCATTTCAGTCATTCTTGCATGCAATATGCCCTCATGCTTTTGAAGAGTTGAAGAACCATGTTGTTTCTGTTGTGGGTACGGTGCACCAGACCTACAGCACCTTCTCAGACATGACCTGTTCAGAGTGCTCGAGGTTAGCAATAGCAGCAGTGTTTCTTCTCTGGCATGAGACAGTTCAGGCTATAGCACATCTTCTGTACAAGATGAGGTATAGGGGCAAAAAATATTTGTAGGGATTCACACTGGCATATGAGATCTGAATTGGCTGTGGGGGATTTCAGTACATCAAATTTCAAAACTTTCTATCGAATTCAAGTGGGTATCTGCAGTAGAATTACGCCTTTTGAGATATTTCCTCCTTAAATCATGTCACTTCATTTCATGTGTCCCAGATAACAAATCTCTTAAATGTTCATACCAGTTCCATAGAGTATATTTTAGCTGGCATCTTTTATAGGTCTCTTGATTTAACAAATTAGATATCTTTGACAGGAGGGATTAACTGAGATGGCCATCTCAAAATTGAAGAAATCCGTGTTAAAGTACTTATCTGAACAATAATTTCAAAATGAAATCAATTTTGTTTTGTATTTCTCTGGTAAGAGATTCCGGTTCCTGTCTTACTGTGTAGTTACTGGTGTTTGTTTCCAGCTCTTTTTGCCATTACTGCTTTCTGGGTAGTTGGGGAATGCCATGCTGGAAATGCATGGAGAGATAATAACAGATCACTCTAAGGACGTATCTGTTCTGCTAACCATCTAACATGCAGCGGGGAACATAATATGACAATAAAGCATTTATCTTCTCTTTACTGATATGTTCATGCTATCAAAACAAAGTTGGCTGTTGCTTGATGGACTAACATTACTTATCCCTTTTGCTACTGATAGTTACGGCTGCTATTTTTTTCCTGTTCTCAGACAGCAGGATTTCAAGAGATTCTGACTGAAATTGAAATTTTAGCTTTGATTGTGGGATGCTTGTGTCACGACCTTGACCACAGGGGAACCAACAATGCCTTCCAAGCCAAGTAAGTTTTCTAATTCTTATTACTTTAATTTGTTTTTCTTCCACAGAAGAGCAAAAGGTGACCAGGATAAAGAATGAAGCATTAATTTCAAGCCTCCCAGGCCAAGGCCAAGTATTCTTATTCCTGTACGTAGTGAGGGACTATCCATCTTTATAATTCTCTGTTCTTTGGGGTAATTGCTGCCTTGTCCTTTGGATCAGGCTGTTGATTGGGTTAATCCTTGTGAGCTGACACCGAATATTGAAATGTGGTGCCAAAACTTGATGTTCCTCTCTGGCTCTGTTACTATTAATTCTGGTATTCAACTCAGAAAATACTGAGACTGTCTATCTGGGTTGCTCACGCTGACTGGAATGCGTTAAGTTAAGCATAACCTAGCTAAGCAATTTAAAAAAAAAAAAAAAAAAAAAAGGTAAAACTGAAATCCTGTTTTCCCAACAATTTTCAAAATGGTTTAGGCAAGCACAGCATATAATTCATGGCATACAGAGTATGAAACTGCTACCATCATGCTGGACTCTGATGCATATCGTCTGCAGTGGGTGGGCTGCTCCTGGTTTGTAGAAATGCCACCTCCTTGGCCTGCTCCATATGCCAGAGTTCTCAGAGTTCCATATGCTTAGAGTCCTGCTACCACAGACAGGGTTGGGCTGACCGCTCCTTGACATGGTCAGTACCCACTACAGCACAAGGCTGGATCTCACAGGCAGATTCTTACATCACCTAAGTGAAATTGTGCTCTCCAGACCATTTTCAATTCCAAAAGTGAATGTCATTCTATTCAAGTTGCTTAGAACCTGATCCAGCAGCCCTGACTCATGTTTGTTTTTACCATCCAAGCTGCTACCCTTAGATGTGTTGCTGAAATAGCAGCAGGCTAATGGAAAGTTTGAGGGTACATTGTAGAGTGGTAAGATAACTCTGTTGACCAAGATCAGGTGGTTTCCAAAATCTGGTTTTGAAAGACAGCAGGAATTGCCTGTTTGCTGCAGTGTGTAATATGCACTGGCTGCTGCATTTCTGGGGGTGAGTATCCTTAGTGAACATCACTCATATTGATGTTTCTGATGTTTGCTAAGCTGCCATTTCCTAAGCTATTGGTGCTGCTATACAATCTCAATGAAACAATGACACTGTCTGTATCTTCAATCACTATAGCAAGGAAAATCAATTGCAGTGCTCAAAAGACAGAGCTCATGGTGCAAAGGTTACCAAGCACTGCTAGATGCCTGTTCACAGCTGAGTCTTGAGGAGAATCAAAAAAGACGAGACAAATGGGAAGCTCAGCTGATTGATGTTTATGTTCCTAATTTACGAAAATGAAACCTAAGATTTACATCCAGGCCATTTTAGGCTCTGATTAAGTTAACCACTTCTCTACTGTAACATTATACAGCCACATCTCTTGTGCAGAGAGATGGCTGACTTAAAGGAAGAGATTTCAGCATCAGACTGCTATCACTTAAACTTCCTTGACAACTGAGTACAAAGAGGAGACTGCCATTTTATGACTGCATAAAGAAATTGCTGAAGACATTTAACAAAAGACAAAGATTCCCACACATACAAAATATCCCTGAAAATGGAAGCTGTAGTTTTCGTAACAGCAGCTATGATTTATTTCTCTAACTTGGCTTACAAATTTAAGCACATTTTCCTATTTTGTGTTCAGCGCTACCGTTCTGTGTTCTGAAAGTTCAAGAGGTATACAATGAAGGCAATATCACAGCTGTCTGAAATATCTCTGTTATATATCTCAACACCACATTCTCTAGGGATGATGTTTCCTGGACATCTTTCTCTCTAATATAGCTGCTTCTGATAATTAAATAGCAGTATGGTGCAGTTTTATAGTTTATTTTCCTAGGAGACTCTTTCTGTTTGTCTCTAGCATAATCTCTTGTTCTCATTTCTTTGGAAAGAAAACCCATCTTGTCGCTCTAGGCTGGGTCCCAGAAGTGAAGTAATGATGAACAGTAACTATTCTGACAATCCAGTTCAATTCTCTGCACCTCCCAACAATTCTCAATTTAATAACTGTATTTCATCGGTTTTTATTCTTTAAACTTGGGAAACCCAACTGCTCTGTGCCTTTTGAAGCTTGATTTTGTTTTAGATAATAAACATGATAAAAAAATACATTCTAGACAGATGGTAAACTTTACTTTTACATTTACTATTCTCAGTGCTGTTTTTTGGTTACATTAGTTTTGTTTTTTTTTAAGTGTGTGCTTTTAGATACAGACAGAACCTCACTGCATTTGAACTTCTTTTTTAGTTTGTTCTTAAAGGTATGTAATCACCTTTTTGTAAGCCTTTTTTTGTTAATATCTACTAATAACTGAAAATTAAAAGTAACAGAAGAGCCGATCTCTTGACCCCTGCTCAAGGATGATACAGTCTGTTTTTACTGCACAGTGGTGCACAGTTACTGCTAAGGCTCCTTGGAAGTTGCATTCCATAACTTTGTTTCAGGAGCTGTCTTTATTCAGCTGATGGTATTTAGCATAAACATAAATGCCATGTATTTGGCTATAAATGACTATTTTGATCAGGCCAATTCTCAAGTATGGTTGCTGACATGGATAAGGGCAAGTGTGATTGCATGCTTTCATTACTAAATTCTCTCTCAAATCTGCTTTGTAAGCAACTGAGCAGCATTTGTTGACTCCTTGCATTCTGTTTCAGGAGCGGATCAGCCTTAGCTCAGCTCTATGGCACCTCTGCTACCTTGGAGCACCACCATTTCAATCATGCTGTCATGATTCTCCAAAGTGAGGTACAAAGCATTACTATTAATCTCACTATAAGCTGTTGGGCAGTTTCAGCCAGGGAAAGGAAATACCACATACAGTACCTTTTTAATGCCCTCTCCTTGAGGAATTATTTATTGGTTACCTCAAAGGTCACAACTAGCACAAAATTAAACAATTACAAATGCTGATCGTAGATCCCAGAGATTATATCTGTCTCAATCAGCTAGGAGCAAGGAGAATATATCCTAATCATATTATCAGTTTTTCTGTCTTACACAGATCCTGCTCGGGGCCTTATAGTTGCATAAAATGCTCTTACCTTTCTCCACAAGTATTGTGTTGCACTCAGTGTATCTCGGTAATCCTTTACTGGTTCTGCATTATTTTACTAAATGTTTGTGGTTTTTTTTTTAATTAACATCAGCAATATTGCACTGTCCAAATACACTAGCTACTGTGCAGATTCCTATAAAGACAAAGTTCCTGCCTAGAATACCTTATGCTCAACAATATGCAGGTTACACTGCCCTAGAGGTGTTATAAGTGGGAGAAGTAGAGGGATAGACACAAAATCTTTATGAAGAAAATGGATGTATTTTGTTAATTTACGGATAGCTTGTTACAAAATGTGTTCAGTATTTATAAAAAGTCTTATTCATGCAGCACAATTAGAGACTATTCTGATCTGCACTAACTTTTGAAAGGCATGGGGATGTCCACGATTATAGGCAAATGGGAACTGGGTAATGCCTTTACTCTATGCAGTGTCCACAGTCAGTGGACTGACCTCTGGGTTTTAGTGTCTAGTTTTTTAACATAATATTTACAATGTAGACATGGTAAAGGAGAACCTCAGCATGAGATTTAAACAATTCAATCTGCTCAGTTTAACCTGATTATCTAAAAGGTGATCCCCTAGCAAATGGCTCTTTAGCTAGCAGAGAAAGACATAACAAAAAGCAGCATTTTAAGGCTAAATAGACCAGTTCATAGGGAATAGGGAAAAGGAAAGTGGTATTTTTTTCTTTTGTTTTGTTTTTTGTTTGTTTGCTTGTTGTTTTCTTTAAACCAATGAGACTGTCTGCTCAAAGAAGCCTTAGCTCTTCAAGTCTTCATGTCTGAATGCCCTTCTGAAGATAGGCTTAAGACATGGACAACTTTGTGCCAGTTTATAGCTCGTGTCAGACTAGATACTCTAAAAAAATCCAGCTTAGAATTCAATACATTTATTAAATTACTTTTTTTTTTCTTGGAATCTACTTCTTTTCTGGATGCTTCCTTGAATCTATGATCTTTTGCAGATATTTTACTTGAACTACAAGTCGTCGTCTTTAATCATTCAAGAAGCTGCTGCTTCTAGTCCTCATTTCCTGACCAGAAAATTAATCACACAAGATATTTATTCACTAGGTACTATTTGCTAATGGGATTACACCACCACTCCTTTTGGAATAAATACAGATTTGGATCCTCCAAACTACTTAAATAGACATATCAACTTTTACAAGCTGAGCAGTTTGTTTCTTGCCTCAAATATGCTAAAATTAGATTATATCCTATGCACTAATGTTGATATCCTAGTCTGGTTTGGCTATCTAAAATGAAACATAGAATACTGCATGATTACTTTGAATTTTTATCATGCTGCAAAGACGAGCTATTTATTCTCTACTTCTGCCATGCTAACCCCAATATAAGTGATTTTGAGCTTTGTGCTGGCATGGTTTTACACATAATGAAACAGATCAGAAATGTAAAAAACCAAAAAATTACAGATTGACAACTTAGTTTAAATTACTCCTGTTGGAATAGCCGCTGTTTTATTCATACATTTTACTTTGCTATTTTTTTTTTTTAATTTTAAATCTGTTCTTCTCTAATGAACTTTACATATTCAAATCCTTTTTAATGCTTAGCTAAAGATAAAAACTCATTTCACTGTCACAAAGGCCATGTTTTATGCATGACAGCTATATTTTTTAGACCAACAATAAGCTAACTTATTAAATAAATAAATAAGAACCAACTCTCCCTCCAAACCTTGCCTTGTCTGTCCTCAGACATTCATGGCTGTAACAATCCCATCTCCGGAAAATTCTTGGTTTTAAGTGTGTTTTAATATTCCTTAGCAGTATACATGTGCATTACACTGCTAAATGCCACCAAAATAAGACTCTGTTTACCAAGAACATCAGTGATTCTGTGGGTGATTTCATAGAAAAATTGTAGGATCTCTGTCCCTATTAGTTTTCAGAATTTCAGTTACAAAATACATCTCTGCTCTTGAATAGCAATATACAACTAGTTTGTATCCCTCCATTCCGGCTATGAAGCACCTTTCAAATTCTTAAGCCCATGACCTCTATAGAGTATCCTATCAGACCCTCAAACCACGGAAGGTTGTGGCTCTTTAGCCTGTGCAGGGAAAGCTTGTGTATGTAGTAAGAATGCAATAATGGGTCAGAGCGAGCAAACAGGCTGCTTTGAATGAAAAACTGATTTAGTGTCTTTGACTACTCTAACAGCAGTTTGTGTGCCTGCAAGCAGCAGCACAGATAAATCTATTAGGAGCACAACTCAAAAGCTGAAATGCCCAGCTCCCAGAAACATTTAATAAGAGGAAAGATTGAGATGTATCCATAGTTTTCCTCCATAAACTGAGTCTGTGCAGGGTAGGAGTAAAGAGTAAATCTTTCCTCAAGAGGCTATAATTTCAGCAGAGTTTAGTAAAACATCCCAGATGCTTGATTACAATTGTCAAATCTTACACCCCGATGTAATCTCCACAGTGTTAACATTATTATTTTGCCATAGATTTGCCATGAATCAGAAACGGCCTTTGCTAGAGAGAAACAGTAGACTGTTAGAAAGAGTTAGAAAACCTTTTAAAAACCGATATTGATTGCTAGTCCTTTACCTTCTTTATCTCTTTCATTATAGGGTCACAACATCTTTGCTAACTTGTCCTCTAAGGACTACAGTGACCTTATGCAGCTTCTAAAGCAATCGATATTGGCAACAGACCTCACTCTGTATTTTGAGTAAGTATTGGCATTTCTTGTGTTTGAGAAATGACAATTTGAAGCATGTAGTCTAATGACCTATTAAATACCAATAAGGATATATAATGTGAACAATTAATATTTAGCTGTGGTTGAAAAAAATTTAGTCTAATACTTTGTATATTTTAGGCTAATAGAAATATCCCAAGTGTCTAAGTAAGTTTTGCTTTAATGTGTAATGTCTACATCAACAAAAGACAAGGGAAAAGTCCTGGGCTCATACTTCAAAGCAATCCCAGGAATCAGCTACAGTTTTCTGCCATAATTCTTCTGTCCTTTATGTGATATTTCGTCAGAGATGTAGAAAATCAATGACATTTTAGAATTCTTTTCCACCATTTTAGAGTTTCTAACAATCTATACTAAAAATATTATATTTAATAGAAAAGATGGATGATGAGGTAATGAACACGTACATGTTGCTTTTTGAAGATAACTTGTATCAGAAGAGAAATATGTTTCTGCTGTTCTTCTCTTCTCTTTAACTGTCCATTTTTCTCATCTGCAAGTCAGATCTCTTAAGTAGTCTTCAATTTGATGCTATGTTATGTTTTCAAACACTGTTATTACCAAGCTATATTTGCAGTAAGACTGGACAGTGCATGTGGCTGGAGGAGTCATGATGCCACCACCACATGATGTGGCTGGAGCCTGCTCTCTGGCATGTACCTGGCTGACTTGCAGGGAGAGCACCATCTGGTGTACAGCTTTGGGGTGCTGTCTTCGAAACCTTGGATCGCTGGGCTGAGGTGAATGGGATGAGGTTCAACAAGGCCAAGTGCCGGGACCTGCATTTTGGCCACAACAACCCCATGCAGCGCTATAGGCTTGGGGATGAGTGGTTGGATAACTGTGAAGAGGAAAGGGACCTGGGGGTGTTGGTTGATGCTCGGCTGAACATGAGCCGACAGTGTGCCCAGGTGGCCAAGAGGGCCAACGTCATCCTGGCCTGCATTAGAAATAGTGTGGCCAGCAGGAGCAGGGAGGTGATCATCCCCCTGTACTCAGCACTGGTGAGGTCGCATCTCGAGTACTGTGTTCAGTTTTGGGTCCCTCACTACAAAAAAGACATTGAGGCCCTGAAACAAGTCCAGAGAAGGGCAACGAAACTGGTGAGGGGTCTGGAGCACAAATCTTATGAGGAGCGGCTGAGGGAGCTGGGATTGTTTAGTTTGGAGAAGAGGAGGCTCAGGGGAGACCTCACTGCACTCTGCAACTTCCTGAAGGGAGGTTGTGATGAAGAGGGGTTTGGCCTCTTCTCCCAGGTAACAACAGGACCCAGGGAAATGGCCACAAGTTGTACCAGAGGAGGTTTAGATTAGTCATAAGGAAGAACTTTTTCTCTCAGAGAGTGGTCAGGCACTGGAATGGCCTGCCAAGGGAGATGGTGGAGTCACCGTCCCTGGCAGTGTTCAAGAGGCATCTGGATGAGGAGCTGCGAGATCTGGTTTAGTGCTTGTGGCAGCAATGGTAATGGGAGGACAGTTGGACTAGATGATCTTGCAGATCGTTTCCAACCTTGCGATTCTATGATTCTGTGATTCTTCCTAGCCTTGACAAGGCTTCATCCTTAGGAATTTTTTTTTGGATGTCCATTATCATCCTATCTCATACATTATTGGGTAGCATTTGGTAATGTATCCCTCAACTTTGAGAGGGGTGTGCATAGATTCCTCAATTACTGCGTACTGATAGTTGTTAGTTACCACATGAATTTTCCAGAAAACTTCAGAAATTCTAACTGTTCAACAAGACATCTTTAACTGTTAATTGTAAAAATACTAACTGGGATGCTGCCATGTTTGCCAATATTGGGTTATTATGTAAAGAGCTGTTTCTGAGCAATACTGGCAGCAGAGACATTGATGTTCTTTGCTTTCTGCAAGTCTATTCTCAAAGAAATTGTACTTAAGGTTTTTATGAATAGCTTTACTGTAAATAATTTATAAGATTAGCCCATGTGTGTAGATATGAAGATCCTCAGGAAGACAAATCTTTTTAGGCACATAATTTTTGAAGCAGTCTGAAAGGCTTGTTAGAATCTGGAGGTCTGTTATGGCAGTGGAACTTGCTGACCAATTTAAGTGGGATGCAAGAGTCATGGGGATGTTTAAGTACAAATTCTCCTGTGTAACTGCAAATGACAGGAGTGCACAATTGGTTTGTGCTGTCAGGGAGAGGATGAGTAGAAAGGACTTAGAGGACAGCTGCCCTGCGTGGCACCATGCATTACCCTGTCTGAGACCATGCAGCTTGTGGAAGAGCCAGAAAGCCTAACCCTGGGGAGAGTCTGCAGCAGCACCTTGAAAGGGAAGCCAGACACAATGGAGTTTTTTTTTGCTGCCTGCCTTAGGCTGAAAAACTACATGGTCAAGTGGTCTTTCTATTTTTAATGCAGAGAAATAAGGTCCAAAGAGGACATCGGCTGAATTTCAAAATGGAAAATGTACTTAATTTTAGTGGATAATTTTAAATGTTGCTCACAGATAAAAATAATTGAATCAAAATGATGTTTATGGAAATCAACTGAAATGATGTCTTGAGCCACTGGACTGTAAAGTAGCTGTTTTGTTGTACAGCAAACTAGCTTTCCCTTTCAGACTATATACAAGAGTCAACGTTACTCAAAAGCATTGCATAATTTCTTAAATTCTGGCACGCTATGATGCTTAATAGCATTAAAATTCTTCCTGTTGGACATTGTGTCTAAGGAACCAGCAGGAAGCACTGAATTATTTCCTTATACATGGATGCTTTCCTCAGGTTGACTCTCATACTAGAAATCCTCTGTGGTGTTAGACTTGAAGCTTCTACATCCATTCCTGAGGATGTCAAAGCAAGACTCTTAACATTTTCTTAACATTTTCCTGCTTTTATGAACCCATATACTTTAAATTTGAATGTGTGAGGTTTTTGGGATCTCATGCTCCTGACCTTTCAGCTTTAAAAATTGACTTTTGTTTCCAGTTGACTGGAAAAAAAAGTTGACTTTTTGTTTCCAGTAACATATGAATTGCCCAGAATAATCAATACTTCAAAATGAAATAATTTGTACTCATCAATTCTGTAATGTGAAATTCTTAATATTTTATTTCAAGAAACATAAGGGATAGGATATCATATTGTCTCTAAATCTGTGTTCTAATTGCCATTGTGAAATCTGTTATGTAAGGGCCCCTGTACAATTCTGTCTATTTACTGGGGGCAATGTTCCCAAAAGCATGCTTCCCCTTGAGTATAAAAATTGTAGTCTATGCCATCCAGATTATGCTTTCAAGAATTACTATGGAAACTTTCAGCCCCGCTGAAGTAAGTATGAAAAATATAAAACTCTGTAAACTTCTTCCAGTCAGGAAACTCCCATGAGACAAGACACTGGACTGTCATCCAAAACATAGGTATTTGGTTTCAAGATTTGATGCTCTGTATTTCTCTACCTTCTGTCATAGTGGGACAGGATCTGTTGCATATTGTGTGTGGTCACACTTTGTGCAATAAGAGTCCCTTGAAGGCCAAGTGTGAGTTGTGACAAAATTATGGACTATGACAAGTCCAAATGTTGGTACTCAATAATCAACAAACAAGCAAGCTTTAACATGTTCCTATTCACAGAGACTGGCAAGATCTTCTGAAAGACAAAGCATGAGGTCCAGCAGGGATACTTCATTTAAAGTCAGTGAGAACTACACATTAAAGATGCCCACAGCCTCTGTGTTCCATCTGTTGGAAATAACAGTAATTACAGGGCTCTGAAAAACCCTCTGGAATCCAAGAGTTAAAAAGCATTTTGCAAGGACAAGTAAAGTGAAGTGTGTGCATAATTCAGGGGTATTTCTATTGTCTGTCTGTCCACTTCTTTAGTCAGACATTTCATGCTTCCATGGTATCATTTATTTCCTTATCTGCAGAGGCTATAAATACAGTATTGCTTTTACTAGGCAGCTCTGACATTGGTAACAGACATTTATAGAACATGTTCGGAAATTAGTATGTTTCGCTTAAATGGACTGTCAGTGTAACGTCTTTAACAATAATAAATGAGGTGCGATGACATTGTATCATTCAGAGAACCACGTTTCTGCTGCAGTGCTGCCCAGAAAGTGTCTGTTTCCCTTTCTGACAACCGTTTTTGTTGCAGGAGAAGGACAGAATTCTTTGAACTTGTCAGTAAAGGTGGTTATGATTGGAATGCTAAAAACCATCGAGAAATATTTCGGTGAGCATTACCATTTCTTGCTTTCTGGTTATTTCAACATGTAACCATATTTGTTAAAGGAGATTCTTATGTCATGGAGGAAAGACTACAATAAGAAGATAGCTTGCTTTAAAAATGCAATCTGTTACATGAAACACATGATACAATTTCTAAATGTCACTAAACTTTAGCAGAGGTATAATCAGTACAACTTCACCTTCTCCATTCCTATTTCTTCCTCTGTCACGTATTTTTCCCTTTCTCCCAGCCTCATCAGTTACTGCTCAGCCTTTCTCCTCTTTTTCAAAAAAGCATCAGTACTCTGCCTTAGGATCCAAAGATCTTCCTTTTCTGCTTCCTTTTCTCTCTTCCTCCCAGCTGCTTTCTGTCACAGGCTATGTTTCTCTCCATGCTTGTTGTCTGTAACTGGGAATTTGCAGATACACAATACTCTTCTAACACTCAAGAATGACCTGAGCGTGCACCCTATAGATACTTTAAATGGTGGGAGTGCACCTCATATTTGAGACATGCATGTGTGCATTTGTATATGCGTGTCTTATTACATCTCAATTTCATTAAAATACTGTTTCCTTCTGGAAATTATTTTAAACCAAGAAAATTAGCCATTTTCTGTTTTCCATATCATTTCATCCACTCCTAATTTCAGATTCAGGCAATATATTTGATGCTTCATTTTCAGTGCCCTTGTTCTTCATTTAAACTTTCCTAGACTTTTATCTGCATCATGTACTGTACATAAACGCTTTCTACAGCTGAATGGTTTCTTTCTTCTAATGCATATAAAACATGGTTGTAGCTAGGTATTAAACTACAGTGGAACAGTATAGCTCATAGTAAATCTTAAATTTTTATTGTAGATGAGCAGTAGAAACTGCTTAAACAGTGTCTGGGTTGCCTCCTGTGATTATAGGTTCTCTTGCAACAGCAGTCACTTACAAATAGGCAAATAAATTAATCCAGTTTGCAGGTATTAGTATATAATAATACCCTTGCTTATATCATGTGAAGTACGTGCTTTCTGGTATTTATATTTATATGGTATATATATTTACATAAATAGTATCAGGGGTACTGCAAAATTAGCTGTTATTCCCTTGCAATGCCATTACTTTTCTAGTGTGCAGTTCACAATACCAAAAATTCATTGTCTGATGACTTGAAATACAATTATGTTTCCCGGGCACAATTGTGATGTAAAAGCCACGCTGATCGCTGGGGTTTCAAACATGTCATTCTTTTCTGGAGGATAAGAAGGTAACAGGGCTGACATTTTATACATATATATATTATTTATTTATGCATCCAGAGCAGAGTTGTTTAGAAATCCAACAATGGTTGATTCAGCTTGTATTGTTCATTTCTGTTTTTCAGATCAATGCTAATGACAGCCTGTGACCTTGGAGCTGTGACCAAACCGTGGGAGATTTCAAGACAGGCAAGCCATGATTAATAGCAGGGTTGGGAGGAGGCGGGACTGGCGGGACAATATTCCCAGGGCCCTGGCTTACAAGGGACCAAAACTGGAATCAATTTACAGCAGTATTAATGCTATAAAAAATAGCAGGGGGTTCTGTAAGAAATACTTTATTGCTTAATCTTTCCATGTATGCATGCTGGTGAGCAGCACATTGGTACCTGAGGAGATCTGGTTTTACAACCTCTCCTCTTATTAACCTTTTAAATCCATATTAATAAAAGGATAGATTAAACAACAACAATGAAAACCATGAGCTACGTGTAGCTGCACTTCCTTGGTTTGTCCTGGAGTTTTCCTTGGTCATGGCAGAATCTTCCCTAAATCAGGAGATGATCTGCAAGCTTTAATTAACATCAATTTTTTTCTGTTTAAGAGAATATGTTCATTTTTATTAACTTTGGGGAAAAAAAAACAATCCTACAATGTAGCATAGAGATGTTTTTAGCATCCTGTACTTAGAAACAAAGAAAGATTCAGGCTTTTGCTGCTGAATAGGCCCAGTAGAAATATATACATAAAACTCAGGTCCAAATGCTGACTACAGCAAGTAATTGCAGCACACTTAACCAAGTGTCTGGCTTACTAAACAAACGCTTGTTCTAATGGTCTTGTCTTTTACCATACAATTTTCCCTCTTCTAGTCATCTTCCCATACTTTGCACCCTTCATTAATATTTCTTCTTTCCCATACTAGTAATTCTCTGTCCCTCGAAGTCCAGAACAAATTAGTAGCAGGTTGGGTAGTGAGATAGGGTTTTGGAGGAATATGCAACATAATGAAGCAGATAGGAAATATATCAGCACAACTGGGTGTAGGTGAGCAGCTGCAGTGAGTTTGACAGGCTTAATGTGAAAGTGGCAGCTAAAAAGATGAGTTGAAGATGAGAAGCTGGACAAAGCGAGCTAGCTATCAAGGTAGGAGCAGCCAGATTTCTTGGATAGGGACACAGAATGTAACGGGAGATGAAAGGGAAGGGACTTGTGCTCCTCTGCAGCAGTACCAAAATAACATGCACACATTAACTCAGTAAAAAAGCATTAATGAAGTGATGGCTTCAGCTCAGCTTGCAGTTTTGTCTAATGAGTCTTTCTTTTTTGCTTTTATAAGCAGACTAGAACAATAGTCCTTCTCAGGCTATTATATCTTCTTGTCCAGAATGTGACCACCTCTCAAAGAAATTTGCTCTTATTCTGCAGTAGGAAAATAAGTCACAAGACCTTAAAGTGCCACTTAGCCACTGCTGCAATTTGTGCAAATTCCCCTCGCTTTTCCTCTTTACCCCCGTGAGCTTCTCAATTTTCCTTGACAGCCAAAATATCAGGTAGGGTCTGTTTCCCATGCTGTGAATCTTTGTGTTATGGTGTTCAATTAGTGCTGAATGTTCTGGCAATTTGTTCTTTATTTTTATCATTTTTGAGGTTTGCACTTGAAAATTCCCCTGAAGTCTGATGTACAGGCTTACTTTGTATTGAAAAACCCTATTTGAGTGAAACAGCAGCTGGTTGAGCAGAGAAGCTAATCAATGCACAGAAGAGAAGTAGAGGCAATAGTTGGACCTCAAGTGTGCCTAAAGGAAAAAAATATGAAAAGGGAGAAAAAACTGAAGTATAAGCATAAACAAATAAAGATGAAATGTAGGAAGAAAAATATTAGGAAGAGAGGACAGACAAAAGAAGAGGGAAAGGGACACAAGGAGAAACGTGATCAGAATAGCAGTGAGGCAGGGATGAGACTACATCTTATTATTTTTATGCAATGCACTTGGCAAACACTTAATTGCTGTTAAGTTGTTAAATTATTCCTCTGTCTGGAGTATTGATTAATTTTATTAGTGTAGTGGGATTATATACGTTATAAAGTTCCAAACTGCATGGTAGCCTGGTTAAGGATTTAAGAGTACTTTATAACACCACTTCACCTATTTCCAATTTATTTTGGTACTCCCTATTTCAAGTTTAGCAAGCTCAGGATTTGTGTATGTTAGATACTGTGCAATTGCTAGATCAAGAAATTTTGAGACTTATAAAGCACAGGTTCTCTTGGTTCACCCTGTTATGCTGTGGTGTTATGAAATCATGTCTTATCTCAAAATCACTTGAAAACTATAAGCAGGCATGACAGGAATTTTAAGAACCGAATTCTGATTTCAGTAAGTAAGTTTCCTTTTTTTTTTTTTTTTCAGTATCTCAAGTGTCACCTGTGCCGACTTTCTAAGCCCTGCATTTAGAAAGGGCTGATATCCAAATTTTTCACTGGTTTCTTAAAATTCCTATTGCTTCCACTGTTAATTTTGTTATTAAATTTCATACACTTCTGAGATTCTATGCTGAATAGAATAACAATCTTCATTCACAAAAATCAGAAAGGCACATTCCAACTTCCAACCTACCCTGTCTTGCTTTTGATTCAATATGATAATCATAGTTTGAGCTCATACGTACTATAGTGACTGATGACAGTTGTGGGGGAAAAAAACTTTATGATTTCATATTAAATTACGACAACAGAGGTTACTGGTTAATTAAGTTCCTTTGACAAGTGAAGTTGTTTATACAGGGCAACAGCCTGTAAATACCCAGAGAGCTCTTGCACATTTTACAAAGCACTTTTACAGACATAATTATGCGTGCCAACAAGAAGCTACCATTTTCTGTTCTGTTCTCAATACTTGACTAAGTTGCACACAACTACGCAGTGCTGTCTCCACACTGCAATGTCTTTCCCCAGTTGATTCCCTATTGAAAAGTGATAAATATGACTCTTTCTGGTTATGGCTATTTATACCCTCTTGTGTGCCCCACTCTGAAAAGTATACAAACATGTGCCTGACATCAGTCATGCAACTAGGGCTATTAACTTCTTTACAGCAAAGCACAGGCTGAAGTCATGGTCTAAGCAAGAACTTAGTACCCTAAAAGTTATGTTACAAGTCCTCTAAAGTTTATTGTGATTTGTATTTTAGGCAGCTGAGCTGGTAACCAGTGAGTTTTTTGAACAAGGAGATAGAGAAAGATCTGAACTGAAACTCATTCCTTCAGTAAGTATTTATCACTTCTGAAATAGTTATTTATTTGAATTGGATAAGAAAATATAATTGGATTCATGGAAAAAACAACAACAACTGCATTTTGGTATGGAAATAAATATCTCTGAATAAAACAAAAGCTCTCTCCAATAAGGAGATGCACTGAAAGCCACACATAAAAAGCAGTACAGGCAACAGAGTCGCTTTTCCTTTGAGCTAATCTCCATTTTCTTTACCTTCTCACAGGGTTATTCTGTCATTCAATTTTCTAAGCAACAGGTATTATTTTTAATACATGAATTCAAATAAAACCACACTGTACTTATGGAAATTAAGCTGCTGCTGTCTGCTATGTGTTATTTGATATATCAAATACAGAAAAGCATTTCTGTAGCTATGTAACCAAATACAACATGGATTGAAAGGTTAAATTAACTGGAATATAGACAGATGGGTATAAAGTCTCAAATGAGAATTAAGAAAAAAAGATCATTAAAATCTTCAGTGAGTGATTTGAAGAGAAAGCTTTATTCAGCTTAAATACTTCAAACCATGTGCAAGCTGTTATCTGAAGGAAATAGAAACTGAAGGAAACGAAGTCTTGAAAAGAATCTAACTTACAAGCCAGGTGCTTTTCTTCTAAAAATACTCATTCTGATGGCTCAGATTTGTTCTCTGTTTGATAACTGGCACATGAGCATACTACCTGTGGTGATGTAATGAAATAAAGGTTAAAAAGCTTGTAGAAAATGTTCAGATAGAGAGTTGTTAGTCAGCAAGATACTGCAATCTTATCTTCTCTTGTATCTCAAGGGTCTTTTTATTGCATTGCCCTTGGAAAGATCTGAAAAGGGTAGTATTTTTCTAAATGATTTTAACAGGAATAACAGAGTTTTCCAAGATCTCACACAAGATTCTCAGTTAAGACTAAGTCCTCGAATCTTTGCTCCATGTCTTATTTAGATATTCTGTGTGATAACTATTTGTCAGGAAGAGCAGGACGCAACTAGAAGAAGTCAGCCAAGTATTTAATATGTATAGCCTAGAGACTGGGGAAGGGAAAGAAGGAAACTAAGTTTTCTGAGGAGACATCAAGCTGGGGGAAGATGAGCCTAGAATGAGAACAGACTTTCCACTGAAACATCAGAAAGGTTTAAAAATTGGGATTTTCAGAGAATAAAAGAAGAAATTCAGTGAATGGTATGGATGAGCTACTAGAAGGAGGATTAAGATCCTGTAGAAGGAAAAGCTGCTGGACTAAGTGATCTCCAGTAGGGTACAGAGGAAACTCACATTCTAACCCTTGGGAACTCATTTTCTTCCATCTCCTTTCATGGAGCAGTACAGCCAATAATCTATTTCTACAGAAGGTTTCTTTCCATCTCAACCCCAACTGCAGAACATTTATTTTACATTATGGACTTATAAAATTCAAATACATTCACCCTACAAGTTTAGAAACAGAAATCAAAATAAACAGTTTGTTTTTCATGCCAGACAAAGCAATAAGAAAGATTGCAAAGATTGACTATGGTTTACAAAATGTTCTGGTTGTAAGAATTTGATCATGGCTCTGAAGTGCTGGATGATATGCCTGTAAAATACTCTGGTGTAATAAACCATGACAGTTTTGTTCCCTTCTCAATTCAGGCCATTTTTGATCGGAACAGGAAAGATGAACTACCCAGGTTGCAGCTCGAGTGGATTGATAGCATCTGCATGCCATTGTATGAGGTAATTTTTACTTACTGCTCCTGTAGAGTCCAGAGAAGATTGTTCTTGCCTCTCTAGGGAAAAGAGCTTACTGTGCAGCCTTGAAGGCCCCTGGAATGCTTTATCTCTCTCTGAGTTTAACAAGAGACTGAATTCTATGCAGAAATCTTCAGTTTCCCTGAAGACAGTTTTATCTGTAAATATAATTTCTCTCTGAGTTATGAAAACTGTTAAGGTAACTGTTTATGTTGTTTGAGACAAACTGATTCTTGTTGTGGCAAGATGTGGAGTGCTCAGCAGAGTGATGCTGGTGGGATGGACTCACTACATGCTGCTGTCAGTCCTGTGCCTGGGAACACATCCAAATACGTGTGATCCAGGTGATACTCAGGGCTGAGCCTTTGCACTCCCTTCTGGTTCCTTTTCAAAAGACTTGTTAAAGGACTCCCTAGGTCAAGCCTTTAAGGTGAATGACAAGTGATTTGTAGTTTAACCTGTGCGCTGTTTAATTGGGAGCTTAATCTTTTAAGTGTTTCTATACAGGTTGCTTGGATGTTTGGCATATGGTATAAACACTCAACTACTACTTGGTTAGGCTCTGAATGACCAGAATAACGTTCCTCTCATTGGATTAAACTAGCTTTGGAATTTGACTTGTGTGTAACATGAACTTCACCATTTTAACTTATTCTCTCTTATCTGCACAGAAAACAGAGCTACACAGGCAGAATGATAAATAGAAAATGACACTATAGAAACTTAACCATCAATAACTGTGTCAGCCAGCATTTTCCTACACACTGAAACCACAGAGACCACCTTCCATTTTATTAAGAAAGATGATGTGCTTCCGCTACCCACTCTACCTCATGGCATTTGAGATTGCCACTAAAGAAGGGGCTGTCCAGTAGCAAAGGCAACCCCTGCTGTGTGACAGCAAGAATGTGAGCTGGTGTCAAAAGTGAGGTGGGCTAATGCTTTGACAGGAAATCCTGTTGCTTTCTCACATCAGTCTTTATCAGGATAAAATAAACTGTAAATCCATAGGCTTCGACCAATTAAGACAAGGCAAGCGCAGCAGACCCATAGAAAGTTACATTTTTTTAAATACTAAGCTCATCTTTGACACCAGTGTGTAGGGAGAATTGACACTGGAGGAAAACTTTAAAAATATAATTATAATATAATAGTTGAATATAATAGTTCATATTACACTAGAATGCATATTATATCAGAATTCACAATTTATGATCTGAAAAAGTACAATAAAGCAGGAAGAACTGATCATCAGACCATCTTCTGCATGAGAAGACTAGATCTGAGCACTAATGCTCTGGTTAGTTAGCTCTATCTTAGCAGGAGATCTCTAGGGAATATATTCACAACTGATTTCCCTGTTTTCTGCTGTCTTTGTATCATGCTGTGCAGCTATTAGCCTGCTGCTCAACAACTTAAAAAGGAGACACCATCAAACCTGGAAGTCATTGCAGTACCAGCCTTAGGGGTAAACAGAAAACTTGATGTCATAGTATCACACTGCAGGAGATTCTCTCTTGAACGTATAGTCAAGTTTTAATTTTCATATCCAGCTTAATCAAACCTCAATACACATCACATCAGCAGTGTACTCAAGCATTCTAAATCTTCTGGTTAGGGCTGCCTGAGCACACTCCGACTATGACAAAGTCCTAGATTCTAATTTGTTTTTTCCTTTCTAAATATGTTCTTTAAAATCCTAGCCTCTATAATATGTTGTTGGGACTGCATGTGGGGACAGAATGGGTTACATCATTACAAATGCAACATAAAGAGGCAGAATGGCAGCTGATAAATTAGTAAAATCTTAGCAGTACTTATATAGCTCACTAGCACAAAGCTTTATAAGCAATATGTTTGACAAACATTTGACACTTGTTTTGATACCAAAATCACAACATTAAGCCATAAAGAACAAACTCAAGGCTTTTGCATATAATTACTTCGTGCAAGTGATTAAAAAGTCCTGGATCCATCTGGACACATTCTGGTGTCCAGAGGGCTAAAGAGAGCTCTGCAGTGAAACGCATACATCCATACTGACAAGATCAGTGGAGGCCCATGAAGTAGTCCCAAGAGTAAACTATTCTTGGCAGCTCTGGATTTTTGAAGTGTGCAATATAGAAGGACCTTCATAATCCTTACATGAGCACTTAAATACCACTCTGGTGTCATTGGCTGTGCTGCAACAAACTGCACCTTGTCCAGAGTCCAGGCTTATGAGTTAAGTAAGATACCAGAGTGCCCACAAAGAACATTCGATAATTACAACCTTTGGTACACTTTACAGAGCTTTATAGAGAGTTGTGGCCTCCCCCTGCCTTATGTTTTTCTTTCTCCTTTCAGAAAGATTCTTTAGGACTTGATCAGTCTTCTGGGGAGATTTGGCACTACCAACCTCCTCTCTATGCATCTACTCACTTTTCTGCCTTTCCTCAGAGCAGCTCTCAACTTTGAGGTGCAGTTTTTCTCTCAAGAGAAGGATGATCAAGTCTCCTTCATCAGGGAGAGGGGTGCCAAAGCAGTGCATCCACACAGAAGGAGATTTATACCTTTGCTCACCTGGCTGGAACTGTTCTGTTTTTTGGGGGTATTTTTTTTGTAAGAAGTTTTAAAAACATCTAGCAATTCCTCAAGATCTGTGAACCTTCTGCTAGCCATCATGAAAAGGTCTACAAAATGTGCTATATAAGTTAATGTGGAGCTTGAAGCTGAATATATGTAGATATGTAATAACTGGGATATAAAAAAAATTATATACAGATTTCCCATATCAGACAGTCTAAATCAAAACCTTTTTGTGTTTGCTCTGTAAGCATGACTCTGCTCTTGGCACAGGGTAAGCTGTGGTTCTGCTCCTCACTCTGCCCCACATATGCTGCTTGACTTGGGAATTAGGCCACCTCCAATATCAAAATGCCACAGTAATAAAATCTGTTTCCTTCATACTGTGTATCAAAGGACTGTGAAGATAAAAGCTTCCCAATTTTTTGTTCATTGCTTTTTATTACACTTGGGACATTATAATTTTATTGAATTTACTTTTTTGTTACTGCAGTGATCAAAGTATTTTTATATGACAGTAAAGTTTTTGCCCTGAGTAGCAGAACAGCCACACATTTACTCTGAAGTTCTGATTTTAGGGGCTTTAGTTATGCTTTACTGCATCACACTTGCTCTTCATTCAAAAATGCCAGCAAAGAAAGCATTAGTCAGTAGACAGATGAGAAACAAGCTTATTAGAATAATCATTTGTAAGGAACAATACATTTCTACGATCTGTAGAGCATTTCAAATACACTAATGTAGCTTCAATATGAAGTAATCATCCCTTTTTTCACAGAACACTGTATAAAGGGGAATCACATGCAACTCAAGCAGAAAATCTAAGACATCCCACTGAAAATAAAACACTATGGCTACACTGACAGCTACATTCACTATACTGAGAAAGCACTCTGTACCTATTTGGACATAAATGTTCTTGTAACATGTACAGCATTTTAATCATTAAGACAAATTACCTCTCTGAACCTCCTGTAAAGATACTAAGAGTTTCAACACCAACAGATTCCTGCCCTGAACGCTACAGTTTGTGCACACCTAATGCAGGACTAGTTGCAGATTTTTTTTTTTTTAAACTTAGATTAGATTTCTCTGTGGGGAACAGATGGAGCAGGATAGTGAAAATCTTACTCTTTTTAATCATTATTTTTCCTCACAAACAACATCAAAGCATTAGTGATTCACTTCAAAGAAAAGACACTAAGAGAAGCCCAGTTCTGTTCACAGCATTGTTAGGCAGAGACAGCAATGCTATGAATAGCAGGGCCAAAGGCCATGCACTCTGCTTCTAGGCAGATAAATACATAGTCAGGTAGTCAGTGACAATGACAGCAGCTATTTAAATTTAAGGGAGACGTCTTTGTGGAGGATAAAGAAGCTCATGGCTTATACAACTTATGCGTGCCTGAGGTTGCCCTGCTCACCTCTACCTCGGTGCTCAGTTGAGCTGCTCCATTTTAGTGCTATTTTTAGTGCTATTCAAGATTTTCTTGCGTAAGGAGAGCTTTTAACACATAATAGTAAATACAAAATTGAATTCACATTACTTCATTCTAGATTCTAGGGAAAAAAAAAAAAAATCAAGAAAGAGCCAAAATACTTATTTTAGCAACTACTTTAAATGTACTAGACTTTATGTGGAAGGACAAAGCCTACCCTTATCACCCTGATGTACTCAGCAAGAAATCTAATTGCTTTGTCTACAACTTTATGTCCTTGGATATGCCTATCTTCCTACAGTCTCGCCTTGTATTTAAATCTAACTTTTGGGTAATTCCCCAATGGTGATGTAGCTGCAAAAAACATTTATTCTACTCATTAGCAGACATTAAAGGCACAGGGTAGTATCAGTGGTAGAGCTTCTGCAAAGTGTAGAAAAAAAAGACAGAAGTCCCATGTCCATGCTTTAATTTCTCCAGTTCAAAAAATTGACTTTGACATCGGAATTAGGACTGCATGTGCATACATTGATTTTTTTTCCCAAAAAAGTTTATACTCTACTTACAATTATTAGGCAAGAGGTTAATATTTCAATATTCCTTTGCAGAAAAGAAGGAAAAGTATGCTTTAAGAATCACTCTTACACTGCCATGTCCTGATACAGCCCTTCCTCATTTATTAAGACTATTTTTTCCCTCAGACTCTAAATGACAATTTTACATAAGGAAATATCACAAGAAATTCAAGGTTTGGACCATTTCTCTAGAAGTCCAGTTTGAGTTGTATGGTATGACTTAGTCCTTACTCAGGCAAGAGTCTCTGGCTGTAGCCAAAGCTATCTATGTTTTAGTTCAAATGTCCTCTCTGTATAGTCACA